ATGGAAACGGATGTATGAAAACTGTCATTAAAGTGTCGCACTCGCACCCTCATGAAGAGTAACTCCCTTTATTCAGCTGATTTACTGTAAAGTTCATTGAAGAGAAGTCATGTGACTCAATAGCAATCTTAGTGTAATAACAGCCTCAAACTATTGTTTTACACGTGTGGAAACAAGTACAGCTAGAGTCTGCTGGAATGAAGAAAGACAATCTCCACACCCGTTTACTATTACACTTCAGTATCATTTAAAACAGCAGTAAAATACATACATTTAACTTCTTCAGCTCAAATCATGAACACTTCAGGGTAAAACGTAAAGATGATTGTGTCGTTGAACTGTAACAGCGCTTCATTCATACAGTGTGTCGGGATTTTTCTTCTGTCTCTGTTTACTGCTATTCAAACACGTTTAGTTCGACAAAAACAACTCATATGGGGTTTAAACATGACAGAATTTTATAAACAGTAAATAAAAGGTTGCACACGATTCTAAATGATGCTTGAAAAATCAGATGTTTATTAAAAATAAGCACTGCATTTTCTTACAAACTTGCAAAAAGTGTACAGGATAAAATGCAAATGAATTGAGTAAAGTTTAACTCAGGCTAAATAAAGTTGAGAACTGCTTTTATTAAGAATCAAACTCTGAAAATGTTACGGCTGCTACATGAAAGCAGAAATGATCTGGTAATTAATTGTTGACACTGATTTCCATATGAAGTCATACAGACAGAAGCGGTCGTCACATGTTGTGTTTCCCTTTATAGGATGAAATATCAAAGATACTCATTTACTTATCCATCAATCTCCATCAAGTGTATCTGGAATATATAATTTGTTTGTAATAATTCTGACCCAACACATTTGTGATTAAGATGTCAATTTCAGCATCAAGATTATGATGTTTAAAACACACTTATCCTGTTTAATAAAAAACTGAGAATATCTGTAATAATCATAAACTAAACTCAGCAGCGAGATCGACTACAACAGGAGCTCAGTGATATATCAGGACAACCTGGAGTTTCCATGACAAGCTTTATTCAGATGTGTCCCAAACTACAGAGAAATGATCAAACTCAATCCCAGACAGACAATTCTGCATATATATATATATATATATATATATATACACTACCGTTCAAAAGTTTGGGGTCGGTACGATTTTAAATACTTTTAAAAGAATTCTGTCAGGAGCCAATCAGATCCCTCACATGTCACCACGCAAAGATCACTGTCCCTAGATTACTGATCACCTGCACCTGTTTTCACTCAGCACTCACTTCCCAGCCAGCACAAAAGCACCCGATTCACTCCCAGTCATTGTCAAGCCTCCAACAGGAACGACCCTTCCCAGTCACCACTTGTCTCACTCTGAGCCATCCTTCAGCAACGGACGTAAAGTATACTTACCTGAAAGAAACTAACCTTGTTGTCCTTGTTCTGATGTTCCCAGGATCCGCTCCATGACTCATGTTCTCCGTTTCCTGGAATCCGCCACGAGTCCCGTTTCCCACTGGATGAGCTGCAAGAGAAAGTGAAAGTATCACTGAACTGGTGAGCTCATTGTCAAGTGCACTTCAAAGGATCTACTCACCTGGAATCCTTCCTGAATCACGCCTATCCACGAACGATCTGAAAGGAGAGAAAAACTCAAGTTATTGATCTGTGTTACCCACCACGTTATTCCTTAAGAAGAGGATTCACTCACCTGGATGCATTCCTGCCACATATATCCTCTTCGAGATCACCGTTGAACTCCCGAAACCCTGCATACTTACCTTTGAGTTAAATAAAGATACATTTATGTTTATCACTTACCTCTGTCTCCAAGCCTGAATCCTGACAAATTCTCTTCTGCTAACCATGGCTGCGCTTATTTGATTAAAAATACAACAAAAATCAGTTATAGTATTAAATATTATTCCAGTGTAAATCAGCTGTTTTCTGTGTGAATATATAGTAAAGTGTAATTTATTCCTGTGATCAAAGCTGAATTTTCAGCATCACCAGTGTCAGTGTCTTCAGTGTCAAATGATCCTTCACAAATCAGTATAATATGAGAATTTGATGCTCGAGAAACATTTATTATTATTATCAATGTTGAAACAGTTGTTGGTCTGTCAGTTGTACAGTTTTTTTTTTTTTTTTTTGGATTCTTTGATGAATAGGATTAGGGTTAGAATCTTTTGTAACATTATAAATGTCTTTACTGTCACTTTCGATCAAATTAATTATTCCTTGATAAATAAAAGTATTGATTTCTTTCCTCCAAAAAATAAAAATAAAATTCTCACTGACCCCAAACTTTTGAACGGTAGTGTATATATATAGTTAAAAGAAGAAAGCATGTTAAAATATCTTGACCACTATGAATGATCATCCTGCATGTGATGTATTTGATATAAACTTAGATCAGGTTCAGAAGGTTTGCCATCGATCCGGCTCTACCAGTCCTCTGGTTTCAACTGCACGATTCATTCAGGAATAAAACAAAAAGTAAAAACACATTTAACTTCTGACACAACAAGATCTATGACATACTGTACCTAGGAGTGACCGTCTAACTGAAACATCATTCCAATAAACATATTTTTCTATATTTCAGAGAAGAGTTTAATGTTTCTGAGAAGAGCAGAATCACAACTGAACTGCTGGAAACAAACTAAAGACACACACAACACTAAATGATGAAGTGTGTACAATGAGACATAAAGTTACAATCCACACACACATTTAATCCAGCAAACCCTCAGTCCTCTATGATCCTCACAGTGATCGAGAGCATTTCTGTTCACAGCCGAGGACTCGTGTTTCTGCTCTCGATTATTCACCAGTCTCTCAAAGTTACAGATTAACAGCGAGTTATAGAGTTGAAGAACTATAAAGTCTATAAAGAACTATAAAGTCTAAGGTTAGCAGGATCAGATCTTTTTGAGTTGCATCTTTTCTAAATAATATACAGTCAAACCAACATTTATTTAGACACCTTCAACATTTCTCACATTATCACAGTTTATTCACTATAGTTTAGAAACTGGTAATAAATATGAGCAGAACTCAGTTCTCAGATCAGTGGATATTTGACTGGTTTTGTCCGTCCTTCTGTTAGACTCTCACACATGAATTATGTTGAATATCTGTCAGCTGTTAAATTTAACTACACAATTATATAATACCAGTTTGTGACCAAGCAATGCTTCATGTTGTCCAGTCTGTGTGTAAAAAGAGCATTAGCAATTACAGAAAACACACTTCAGCAAAACACGATCAGCTCAAAGTGGAGGAATCATTTTTGGTCCCAAATTTTGAATAAATTTTACTGATATGAAGAATATTTGGGTATATGTCACAGTTTACTTTATAATGCTCTGCTCACTTACATAAATGACCTATAGTGTCCTGCACACACTAGTGAAACAATATCATCAATTATATCTGGTGTCTGAATAATGTTCGGTTTGACTGTATGTGCAAGAATCTGTAGTTTATGGAAAATCAAAAATTATGATCACAGATCCTCACATTTCTGGAAACTGCCACTCAATTATCTGACACATCTGTCTGTGTTTTATTGTTCATTTTCAGATAAATCTGACCCTAAAAACATGTAAAAACAAAACAAACATCATTTAACATGTCAGTCAGACGGTGTGTTCTCCTCTCAGCGGTTCTTGGCCAGAATTACCTCGTTTCCACCAAAAATGAACTGGTTCGGAACTGGTGCTGGTTCAACTTGCGAACCTGGGGTGCGTTTCCCGAAAGCATCGTTAGCCAACTATGGTCGCAAATCCCATTGAACTGAACTCTATTGGTAACGACGGAACTTGCGACCATAGTTGGCTAACGATGCTTTCGGGAAACGCACCCCTGTTTTTTTTTCCACTGACTCGAGAGCCCAGCGAACGACGTCGTTACGTCACTGTATACGTCGCCATACATGTAAGCTTTCCCATCGTGTTGTTGGTCTCAATATGCAAAATAGAAAATTATTTATCTTTATTTTTAATTAATAGCAATTATAGTAAGTATCTTTAAACTGACTTCTAAATAAAAACACAGTTTGCTGTTAGAGAGCGAGGCTTGAGAGTTTAAGGGACTCTGTCTCTTTTGTTGTGATGAATTTCAAGTAGACACACGAGACGACAAAAATGCTTTCTACATTTTCAACTCATTTCTCTGGATGCAGAAAAACACACACAGTTGAGATGAACACAATTAATGATGGAAACGGATGAATGAAAACTGTCATTAAAGTGTCGCACCCTCATGAAGAGTAACTCCCTTTATTCAGCTGATTTACTGTAAAGTTCATTGAAGAGAAGTCATGTGACTCAACAGCAATCTTAGTGTAATAACAGCCTCAAACTATTGTTTTACACGTGTGGAAACAAGTACAGCTAGAGTCTACTGGAATGAAGAAAGACAATCTCAACCTGTTTACTATTACACTTCAGTATCATTTAAAACAGCAGTAAAATACATACATTTAACTTCTTCAGCTCAAATCATGAACACTTCAGGGTAAAACGTAAAGATGATTGTGTCGTTGAACTGTAACAGCGCTTCATTCATACAGTGTGTCGGGATTTTTCTTCTGTCTCTGTTTACTGCTATTCAAACACGTTTAGTTCGACAAAAACAACTCATATGGGGTTTAAACATGACAGAATTTTATGAATTAGTAAATAAAAGGTTGCACACGATTCTAAATTATGCTTGAAAAATCAGATGTTTATTAAAAATAAGCATTGCATTTTCTTACAAACTTGCAAAAACTGTCCAGGATAAAATGTAAATGAATTGAGTAAAGTTTAACTCAGGCTAAATAAAGTTCAGAACTGCTTTTATTAAGAATCAAACTCTGAAAATGTTACGGCTGCTTCATGAAAGCATAAATGATCCGGTAATTCATTTTTGACACTGATTTCCAGAAGTGCCAACACTGATATGTTGAAGAAAAGGAGTGTCATTATAATCATCATTATAATCATAATCATAATCTCAGAACTTCTGGCTGCTGATGGGACTGAAGGGTTTGGACGTTTCTTCGGCCATGAACGCCTCGATCTCCTCCACGGTTCGAGGAACGCAGGTCAGAAGCTCCACGCCGTCAGCCGTCACAGCGATATCATCCTCAATGCGCACCTGAGACACACACACACACACACACACACACACAATCAGCAATATTCATGTGCATTTCATTGTCTCATATACTGTTATATACATTTTAATTTTCTCATCATATACTGTAATTTCAGCATCATCTCTTTCCTCTCAGTGTCTGAAACGCTTCAGTCTCTCTAAGCTCCGCCTCTCTGAGAGCTTCTCTGCTGTGATTGGCCAGAAAGCAAACGCTCATTATCATATCTGAATCTCAGCTCTTGATCACAGTGATACGAACAGTAACGATGGTGTGACAGATGGAAATAAGCCGTTTTACCAGTAAGCCATAATAAGCAGTTGAGTATAGTAATAGTAATAGTTAACGAGTTCATAGCCAGGTAATGTTGTCATTTTTATAGGGTAATGTATAGGATATGTTATGGTTAAAATGTTATTGTTCGTGGAAGGAGTTACAGTACAAGTATTTTTATTATTTCTTATCTTGCATAAACATGTCATTCTAACAGCAGAAGCAGTAAGTGAAAAAAGCGCTGTAGTGACGGGAAGCGCCAGTAGAGGGGGAACAGTTGAATTATGTTACGGTGCGGCTCGCTTCCTCTCTTCAGTCATTATACACTTGAACTGAGGAAATTTGTCTGCGTACATCGTTCATTCTTTCTTTAAACTATTCCCCTTATCAGGGCTTTTACATTTGGAGGCCCCGCTGGGATGAGAGAAGTGAGGTTGGTGTCCCAAGACAGCGGAAGAGACCACACATCGATCATCCCCTAAAACGTAACCCAGGTGGAAGAGAGTGCAGTCACGGTGGGAGTGAAAGTCTAACCAAGGAAAGCGTGTATCCTGAGGTGCAATGTCCACTAGGGAGCAGCAAAAACCACGGTAATAGGCAATTCATCACACCACAGCCCTGCTTGTATCACACCTGCCAAAATGGATTCAGAGGTTGAGAATTTGTGTTTTGAGGTTAAAGGAGCTCTTTTCCAACTCGCTCCAGACGAGTTAATGCAGATAAGTGACTTTCTTGGAATATCAGGAACGAACCGAGAAAAGATTATTGGAAAAACTCGTAACGCTCTTGTTTCCCATATTATCCAGTATATTGAAAATGAGAAACTAAATGAACTCGAAGATGAAGGCATGTCAGCTCTGTTAAGTCTCAGGGACATGATAAAAACCCTGCAAGAAGCTAACAAAAATGGCACATCTGAAAAAACAAAAGATAATGAAGAGCAGGAGAAATTAAAGAAAGAGCTAGAACAACTAAAACTAATGGTACAACAGAAGGAAATCGAAATGCAGGAACGGGCTAATAGAAACTCACAGAGTACATTAAATAATGAAACTGCCCCAGTTCACGCAGCGCATGCCCATGCAAACAGCCCACCATGGCGGAAAGATTATAAAATCTCAGGTCAGATTGGCGAACCTGGACAAAAGGACAGGCTTACCTTCTCCAGCTTGGCGCGTCAGATCGAGAATGGTCTCAGTAAAGGTTACCACGAATCAGAAATAGTAGATGCCGTCATTAGAGCCATTGTCCCCGGCCTGCAGCTCCGAAGCTATCTTGAAGGTAAAAGTCATCTGTCTCTGCCAACACTTAGAAGAATCCTCCGCTCACACTACCAAGAAATGAGCGCAACCGAACTATATAAACAGCTGACAACAGAAGTTCAGAGCAATAGAGAGACTCCACAAAATTTTTTAATCAGAGCTATGGATTTAAGACAGAAAATATTGTTTGCTTCACAGGAAGCTGAGTCAAGCCTTAAATATGACCCTGCACTAGTGCAGAGCATGTTCCTGCACACGGTACTCACAGGCCTACAAAATGACAGCATCAAAACTGATCTCCAGCCTTACCTGTTGCAGCCGACCACTTCTGATGAGTTGCTCCTAGAGAGGTTAAATCTAGCATGCGCTAATGAGAAAGAGAGACAAGATAAAAGGAGACAGACTGCTCCACAGCGACACACTGGCGTCCACGCTGTTCAGTCTAGTGATGCGAGTGGCGGTAAGAAATGCCCAGCGCAACCAAACATTGCCACCCTCCCTCCGGATGTCTTTTCAGACCTAAAAGAAATCAAAGCTGACATAGTACTGTTGAAAGACCTCAAGACAGAGATATTACAAATTAGAGAATCCATTCATAAGACAGAAGCCGTACCAAAACTGTATCCTCCTGCTAACCAAGAGATTGACTACAGTGCTAACCACCCAGTTTATGCTCAGCCACAGTTCACGACCTGGAACAAAAAGAGTGCCACAGCCTTTCTCCAGCCAAGTGAGCCAGTGCAGGAATACCAAACTGCTGGTGGACCAAGATTAAAGACAGCGACAGCTCAGTTTCAGCAGAGGTTTGCACCACAAAGGTACCCAATGCAACGCCCCAGACCAAGATGTTTTACGTGCCAGCGGCGAGGGGAGGAATACTGTGAGCATTGCTACAGGTGTGGGAGTAGCGAACATTTTCGTGCGGGCTGTAAAGGATACAGAGCACCGCCCAGTGCTAGTAGAGAGACCCCTTTAAACGAGGAGTGGTTGCCCCCAAGGGACCGGGAGTGACCAGACCTGTCAGGGTGTCCCAAAAATGCACTAGCTGTGGAGAACAAGAGAGATATCAAAAGATTCAACGATGCTCAGTGTGTAAAACAACATTTTACTGTTCCAGAGAATGTCAGAGTAATCACTGGCCAGAACATAAAGAAAATTGCAAACCATTCACACACCCTGAACCAAAAACGCAACGAACGCATTCATGCCAGATGGTGAATGAGAAAAAAAGAAGCACTCGAAAAAAAGAACATTCGACAGTGACTGAATTGGTGGGAAAGAAATGTCTCCTCAACTGCTACCTACAAGGGAAAAGAACCCAAGTGCTCTGGGATACCGGTTCACAGGTCTCTGCAATTGATGAGGTATGGAAAGTTGACAATTTCCCTGACCTCAGACTGAGGGATATAGCAGAAATAGTAGACCCAGATGACCCCTTGCAGATTGAGGCAGCTAATGGTACAGAGATGCCGTATGTGGGATGGGTAGAAGTGACTTTTAAGCTAGCAGCCGGCGTTGAGGAGTTTCATGTCCCCATACTTGTTATGAAAGGCAGTCAACAGCCCCGCCCCATTATTGGCTTTAATGTCATTGAACGTGTAGTTATTAACAGCCAGAAAAACCAGACAAATGACGCGGGGGAAGAGAGACTGTTAAACACTGTGAAAATGGCTTTTCCTTACCTAAAGAAAAAGACAGCTAAGGCATTTGTTAAAGCAGTGAGCAGTGAGAGAACAAGTGAGTACCTAGTGAGAACAGCCAGCCAGAGAATGAGTATATCCCGTCACAGTGCTGTACAAGTGAAGTGTAAGATAAATGTGAAACGCTTTAATGAAGACACAACATTAGTCTTTGTGCCTGATGACAATCCCCAGTGGCCAGAGGGACTTGAATTCTGTGACACACTCGTCCAAGTGAGGAAAGGGTCACCACCGAACATTATCTTGAGTGTACAGAATGCCACTGACCATGATATCATATTAACAGGAAGAGTAGTGATCGGTACGGCACAGTCAGTCACCTCTGTATATCCCCTCAACACTAGTGAGGGAACACACTCTCCCGTTGATGTGAACAACATTCAGATCCAGCACACCAAAGACCAGGAGACAAGTACAGAGCCCTGGGATCCCCCCATCGATCTCAGCCATCTGCACGAAAGTCAGAGAGAGGTTGTTCGTAAGATGCTGAGGGAGGAGTCAAACTCTTTCGCCAGGTCAGATAATGACATAGGCTGTATTGAGAAGCTCCATCTGAAAATCCCATTGAAAGACCCTGAGCCTGTAGCCCGAACTTACATGTCAGTCCCTAAACCCTTATACGAGGAGATGAAGAACCACTTAACAGATTTGATTACACAAGGGTGGATTGAGAAATCACACTCATCCTACGCTTCACCCATTGTTTGCGTAAGAAAGAAATGTGGGTCTTTACGGCTGTGCATAGACTACAGGGAGTTAAATCGGAAGACCCACCCTGACAGACAACCAATACCCAGAGTACAGGATATCATGGATGGCCTGGGAGGAAACGTCATGTTCTCACTGTTAGACCAGGGAAAGGCCTACCATCAGGGGTTCATGGCAAAAGACAGCCGGCATCTGACAGCTTTTGTGACACCCTGGGGTCTGTACGAATGGACCAGGATCCCATTCGGGCTCATGAATGCCCCAGCCGCTTTCCAACGCTGCATGGAGGACTGTCTGGAAGGCATCCGAGACAAAATATGTGTCCCATATTTGGATGATACTTTAGTGTTCAGCAAAACATTTGAAAGCCATGTCAGTGATGTAAGAACAGTATTGCAGAGACTGGGACAGTATGGCATTAAATTAAAACCAAGCAAATGTGAGTTATTCAAAGCTGAAATGCGCTACCTGGGGAGAATAGTATCAGCAGAAGGGAACAAAATCGATCCTGCTGACACTGTTGCCGTCAGAGCTTTAAAAGACAAAAAGCCCAAAACAGTTGGCGAGTTAAGACAGATTATGGGACTGTTGAGCTATTATCGCCAATACATAAAGGACTTCTCTCGCATTGCCAGCCCCCTGTATGAGTTGACTAAGGGATCTGTCCACATGGGAAGACCACAACCGGAGGGAAGGAAGTTGCAGAAAAAAGGAAATGCAAAAGTGGTGCCATCTCAGACACCAATCGGATGGACAGACTCACACCAAAAATCCTTGAGCGACTGATTGACTGCCTGGTCCAACCACCTGTCCTGGCATTCCCTGATTTTTCCCAGCCATTTGTACTACACACAGACGCATCTAACAAGGGACTCGGAGCCGTGCTCTATCAGAAGCAAGATGGAAAACTGCGTGTTATAGCCTACGGTTCCCGGACACTGTCAGCATCGGAAAGAAACTATCACCTCCATTCAGGTAAACTGGAATTTCTCGCTCTTAAGAGGGCGATTACGGAGAGATTCCGTGACTATTTATACTACGCCCCCTTTTTCACGGTATACAGTGACAACAACCCTTTGACTTATGTGCTGTCCACTGCTAAATTGAACGCCACGGGAAGCCGATGGGTAGCAGAATTGGCGGACTTCAACTTCACCATTAAGTACCGCCCCGGCAAAGAGAACATTGATGCCGATAGCTTGTCTAGGATGCCAGTTGATGTTGAAAAATTGATGAATGAGTACACAGAAGAAATGTCTTATGATGCAGTGGGAACAACTACTCAGGCAGTAGAAACACAGTCAGAGTCAAATGCTGCATGGTCGATGGCTATTTCCATTAAGAGCTTGCTCGATGTTCAAGGGGCCTCAGTGGTCGCATTAACGCCAGCCCAGATACAACAGGATCAGAGAGACGATTTCCATATTGGACCAGTTTTGCAGTGCAAGTTGTCTGGAGTGAAACCCGTGCGTCAGGAACTGAGAAAACTCAAAGCACAAAGTTGTTGCCTCCTCGGGGAATGGGAAAAACTGGAAGTAGACGAAAATGGGGTTCTATGGAGAAAGACAGCCCACAGGAAACAACTGATATTGCCTGAAAAACACAAAGTTACAGCACTGAACGAACTGCATAATCAGATGGGACACCAAGGCAGTGACAGGACAGTATCGCTGATGAGAGACCGCTTTTTCTGGCCATACATGCAGCGTGAGGTAGAGCAATATGTATTGAGCTGCACTTGCTTGAAACAGAAAAAACCTAGCCGTGAAACAAGGGCCCCTCTAACGAACATTGTTACCACCCAACCATTTGAACTTGTGTCAATAGATTTTCTCCATTTAGATAAGTGCCGAGGCGGCTATGAGTACATACTAGTAATTGTGGACCATTTCACACGTTTCGCACAGGCGTACCCAACAACATCAAAGTCTGGAAAAACAGTCGCTGACAAAATATTTAACGATTATGCTCTGAAATTCGGGTTCCCAACACGCATTCACCACGACCAGGGAGGTGAATTTGAGAATCAACTTTTCTCACAGTTGAGCAAATACTGCAGTGTAGCTGGATCGAGGACGACCCCTTACCACCCACAGGGTAATGGCCAAGTAGAACGATTTAATCGAACGTTAATACAGATGCTCAAGACCCTGACAGACAAAGACAAGATGAACTGGAAAGATTCTCTGAATAAGCTCATATTCGCTTATAACTGCACACGTACAGAGGTAACAGGCTTTTCCCCATTCTATCTATTGTACGGCCGCTCTCCAAGATTACCTATTGACATATTGTTCAGTTTGCCCACAGAAGATGGAAGTCGCAGCCAGCATGACTACGTTGAAATGTGGAAGCAAGGAATGCAGGAGGCGTATGCGATCGCAAGAGAAAATGCACACAAATCTGCTCAGCGTAATAAGAGGATGTATGACACTAAGGTGAGAAGTTCAGTGTTGTGCCCAGGAGACCGTGTGTTAATCCGAAACATGACCCCTCGTGGTGGAACTGGAAAATTAAGGAATCACTGGGAAGACACCATCCATACTGTAGTCCGTCAAGTGGGAGAGGATGTTCCCATCTATGAGCTGAGACCTGAACATGGGAAAGGAAAAACCAGGATTTTGCATCGAAATCTCCTTTTACCATGCGATCACCTACCGCTGGAAGCTGAAGTACGTCCACTTGTGAAACCACAAAGGAAAACTGCAGGTGTTGATAAAGGCAGAGAGGAGTCAGAGGAAGAGGATGATGATGAGGATTACTATTTTGTGCCACCTCAGACCTTTGCTCAACCACCAGATTCAATGAGAGAGATTCCTGTCATGGAAGCTGATATGAGTCAGCCGGATCTAAATGAACACGCAGCAGAACAACCTCTGAGAAGATATCATGATAACCCCACGGATAACCAGGACGTCCAGGACAACATCGCATTTGAGACAGGGGGGGGAATACCACTGCCATCAGTGAAAAACACATACGATGCAGAAGTGGAGACCAGATCGCAGCGGCCGCAGAGACAACGTAGGCCACCAAAGATCTTCAGCTATGACAAAATCGGAACCCCATCCTTCTACAGTCTTGTTGCATTGCCTTCTTATGCCAGGACTCCATTGTGGACACCACCGGTACAGTCATACCACAACCAGCACCTTTATGTGTGTGGAATGTAAAAAAATATATATACTTTTGCTTTGAACAGTTTAAACTGCCTTGCACTCATTGACTCATAAGAAAGCAGACTGCTGCTGATGTCACAAACATTGCACAGTTGAGGACTTTGTTACATAAGTCGACTGTGGGGTATTCAGGTGATGAACTGTAAAGCGTTAAACATTTCTACAGATATGGGACATAGACAGTGTATGTTATGGTGAAACAGACAGAATGTATCAAAAGAGTTCCAGACTGTAACCAAACAACAAAAGTGGACATGTGTATGTTATGGTGAAACAGACAGAATGTATCAAACGAGTTAGAGGTAATGATGTTGAGGACAACATCTAATTTTGAGGGGAAGTATGTGACAGATGGAAATAAGCCGTTTTACCAGTAAGCCATAATAAGCAGTTGAGTATAGTAATAGTAATAGTTAACGAGTTCATAGCCAGGTAATGTTGTCATTTTTATAGGGTAATGTATAGGATATGTTATGGTTAAAATGTTATTGTTCGTGGAAGGAGTTACAGTACAAGTATTTTTATTATTTCTTATCTTGCATAAACATGTCATTCTAACAGCAGAAGCAGTAAGTGAAAAAAGCGCTGTAGTGACGGGAAGCGCCAGTAGAGGGGGAACAGTTGAATTATGTTACGGTGCGGCTCGCTTCCTCTCTTCAGTCATTATACACTTGAACTGAGGAAATTTGTCTGCGTACATCGTTCATTCTTTCTTTAAACTATTCCCCTTATCAGGGCTTTTACAATGGCGTGGGTTTCACCGTCTCAATCTCAGAAAACAGCGTCTTCTCGACACGAACAACACGAGCCGAACTCTTCCAGTCTCAGATACACTACAGTGTTTGAGGGCGGAGCTAAGAGACGCTGCTCAGCCAATCAACACCACAGGCTGGCATTATGCTAATGAGTTACAACCCTACGCAGGTTCAGCATGAAGTGAGACTGAATTACTGTCGACTCGTTTCAGAATCACGTCTTTCTTTTAGGAGACAAAACTACATTTATCTGCACTCTGATCTTTAAAACTTTCCAGATCTTTTACACTCACACACAGCTGTACACACACTGCATGAAAGTTAATATTCGAAAAAGCATAATTGGGGCGCATTAAAACCTGAACATTCAGAATGTTCACTTATCAAATCTGAAAGCAAAGTCCTTTTCATTATAAAGTAAAAGAAATATATATAGTGTATTATATATGTATATAATGAATGATTTATATGCATACATTATAGCATATAATATTATATATTGACATATCAACAAAATTATCTTTATAGTAAAGAAAGGACTAGTTAGTATCTGTATATCTGTGTATCTACTGTAATGTGTGTGTTATTAATAACTCTGACCCCGCCGAAGCCGCGGAAGCGATTGAGGACGTCTCTGTTGATGAAGCCGCACTGAGTCGGGGAGTCGAGCGCTTTATCCAGCAGGTGATCGATGAAATATATCCCCGGCTCCACCGTGAGGACCATCCGCTCCTGCACCACACGGCCCATCCGGAGACTCTTCAGTCCCGGCTCGTCCACGCGCTCGGTGCCCTTGAAAACAAACAAACAAACAAACAAACAAACAAACAAACAAACACAAACACACACACAAACACACACACACACACACACACACACACACACACACACACACACACACACACACACACACACACACACACACACACACACACACACACACACACACACACACACACACACACACACACACACACAGTTCAGAAACAGACACTTAAAGGGGAACTTGGCAACTCTAGTCATTTCTTTGCTGATTTTCACTTTTGTTGTCGCATGTTTTCTCATGAGCTCCCCCTACAGCTGTGGGCGTATATTTCACAACACTGTCGTAAAGTAACTCGCGGCGTCCTCCTCCCGCTTTCTACCGCCGCTCATGTGCATTTGTTATTATCGGAGCCGGTCAACTTTATCGTGGAGCTGTGTCTACCGAGTGGGTAATACATCATACACAGTATCATAGAATTATGTCGAATTGCCATAAAGCAGTTCGTGTTTCTCGCTCGTTCTCGCTTCTCACAAGACTTCCTAATTCCAACTTACCGGGACGTTAGTCCCCATGATGCAAGGATGGTTTTCCGCCTGGGGACGCTGGGGGGAGCGGGCAAAGCCACCTTTCTCTCCAGAACAGGTTATTAAACCGTTCAAATGATTTCTAAACGGTTTTATTCAGTTGAAATAGTTGCCAAGTTCCCCTTAAAGGCCCTTGCACACTGAGTCCGAAATTTTCGCACGTTAAAAAATAAATACGACCTCACGTTATGTCGATCACGCTTGCACACTGCCTCCGAAACTTTCACCCGTCATAAAAAAAATCGGATCGGGTTCGATTTTCTGCGTTTTCCGCATCTGTAGCAAGCAGTTTGAGAGGTGTTTTGACAATTCAAAGCCACCGAATGACGAATACGAAAAAACGCATACGAAAATATGGGACTCAGTGTGCAAGGGCCTTAATGCTGGTGCTGGTCATCGTAAGCAGTGTTTCTCAACTCTGTCCTGGAGGACGCTCATCACTGCACATTCATATAGCTGTGTCCCAAATGACGCACTATAGACCCCTTTTCAGTTGGTAAACATGGTGACGTTTTCTGTGGGCGGAGCTTAGGTGGAGGCAGAACTATCCCTCTGGCCGCTTCACTAACGCTAGTTTGCAAGTTTTGTTTTTTGTTTTTTAACAATGACTGGAGAAAATCCGATTTTATCTTAATGTGTAAGGTCACTCAGTGTCCTGGACCGCGATTGTTATTTGCAAAAGTTAATTTTAACGGACGGAACCGGATTGGCTGACCCGTACACGCTCACTCAATGGATGGATGATCTGACAGGATTAACGTTAACGCTCCCTCTGGTTGAGTGGCCTGACTTCTACACCTATCCGATAGAGAAACCGAGCGTAAAGAGAAACTGAGGGCATATAAATCTTTAGATGCCTATAACTATGTGCTGAATGGTCATGTAAAGACTTGTGTGTACGATCCGCAGTTCTGCCGAGCCAGCGCCGAGAAGACGACAATGTAAAGAGTGACATTACGGTGCAATTTTAATGATGTGAATATTTTCTAGAAATAAAAATTCCAGATACAGCATATTCATTTTTCATTCATTCTTGCACCCAACAACACAACAAGATGACATTTAATAATAATAATAATAATTTAAGCTCCTTATTATGTAGCCGAATCTGTGCTGGTTTGTATTTGCCGCCTCCAGTTGTCCGTTTGTTTTGCCTCCAGCTAGCGCCGTGACGTAACTGTGACGTCGGCGCAAAAGGGGTCTATAAACTATGCACTTATGCACTACTCAACTGTGTTGTGTATGAACTTTAGACGTTTATTTTGTCTTTCAACATGGGAGTCTGATAGCCCCTCCACTACGTTATTAAAGCTGCGACAGTCGAGTGCATGAAGTGTCCAACGTTTCACACTTCGTTTTTTGGTTAAATAAGTGCATCATCCGGGACGGGTACACTTTTTCTTTCTAGACTTTTTAGTGTGAACGCACTACTCGCACTATTTATACTACAAAATGGCGTAGAATAGTTTTTTGGGACGCACCTTATGTCTCCTCATCTAACACAGACCTATCCTGCGTCCCAATTCGCCTATTTATACTACGCCCTAAAAGTATGTGCTCTTTTTGTGAAGAAAAAGTACATACTTTTGAGTGTGTAGCAAAAGAGTAGGCAAGCTTTGGGACATACTACTTCGTCATCGCTGTTCATCTTATTTCAGTAATTCAACTTAAAAGGTGAAACTAATATATTATATAGACTCATTACATGCAAAGTGAGATATTTCAAGCCTTTATGTGTTATAATTTTGATGATTATGGCTTACAGCTTATGAAAACCTTTTCACAATGTTCTAATTTTGAATTTGGGGTTTTCATAAGCTGTAATAACAAATAAAGGCTTGAAATATCTCACTTTGCATGTAATGAGTCTATATAATATATATATATATATATATTTTTTTTATTCATTTAGCTGACGCTTTTATCCAAAGCGACTTACAATTGCTATATACGTCAGAGGTCGCACGCCTCTGGAGCAACTAGGGGTTAAGTGTCTTGCTCAGGGACACATTGGTGTCTCACAGTGGATTCGAACCCGGGTCTCTCACACCAAAGGCATGTGTCTTATCCACTGCGCCAAATTTTTCAAGTTTCACCTGTACATAGACTATTTCACGGACAAAATAGAGGAAAAAAGTGTCCGGATGTGTTGTGCTGAGAACTGACCTCTGGATATCCTCCCACGTCGTGGACGTCGATGCCCAGTAAGTGACCCAGACCGTGAGGCATGAAGACGGAGCCCAGATGGACCTTCAGCATGTCCTCCACCGCCCCACGCAGGATCCCCATCTTCAGCAGCTCCTCCAGGTGGACCCGGTCCGCCAGCCGGTGCATGTCTGTCCACTTCACACCTGACCGGCACATCAGACACATCATGAGCTGAGACCCTCGTCACATTTACATTCAGCACACGCCGTTGACCAAAGCGACTTACAGATCAAGACTAAAGCAAGCGAGTCATCGTGAAGAGGCTAAGACAACAAGAAGTGCTCGAAATACAACGTTCAGGCATTGCTTAAGTAGCAGAAGCCAGACGAGGGAGGATTAAAGGAAAAGGATTTTTTTTTTTTTCAGTACGCTGAGGTCAAAGGTCATTTTACAGCGGATGACTGACGCTCTCGTCGTCTTTACACCAAACACACAGTGTCTATTTGTCTTTTTAGGAAATGCATTCTTAAATAACAAAACTCCAAATTTCAATATGTAATACCATTCAAAAGTTTGGAAATTAAGAAATTATTAATTTTATTCTACAAAAATGCATTAGATTGATCAAAAGTGACTGTAAAGATATTTATAATGTTACAAAAGTTTGTATTTAAAATAAATGCTGTTCTTTTGAGCTTTCTATTCATCAAAGAATCCTGAAAAATAAAATGCATCAAGGTTTCCACAAAAATATGAAGATTTTAAATGTTTTCAACATTGATAATAATCATAAATGTTTCTTGAGCATCAGATCCTCATATTAGAGTGATTTCTGAAGGATCATGTGACACTGAAGACTGGGGTAATGATGCTGAAAATACAGCTTTGATCACAGGAATAAATTATACTTTACTAAATATTCACATAGAAAACAGCTGTATTAAATTCTAAAAATATATCAATTTTTTACTGTATTTTTGATCAAATTTGACTCTTTCAAAACCATGAGAAAAATCTTACTGACACCGAACCACTGTTAGTGTAGATCAGGCTTTATGCTGATAGTCATAGATTTGGTCAGTAAGTGTGTGTCAGAAAAGACTCTGTTATTCAGTGTGAAAGTAGTTTTGCTGCTGGTGTGTGTGTATCGTGACTCAGAGTGTGTACCAGGTTTGATGGCGTCCAGCACGGCTCGGGAGGACTTCAGCACGGCTTCATAAACGGCTCTCTGGTCCGCGCTGAACTTGCCGTTGGCCGGGAAGGAGCAGGTGATGTCGGAGGAGTAGCAGTAATACTCGCCGCCCATGTCAAACAGACTGTCAGGAAACAGCACAGCATCTTTATATTAATGAATCAGGTTTTAGATGAATCCTGCCCTTTGCACCAGCCTGGACCAGATCTAAAACCACTTCTAAGGCTTGTTTTAGTTTTATGGTTTGGTTTGATGACATCATCAAACACTGAGTAGCCCTGGTTTATTATTATTATTACTTATTTGACATTTTACAAATGAACAGTAAGTATCACCAAAAATCACATTAAGCTTATGGACATTTCCTAATCCATTTCTCCTTTTTTGTTTTTTATTATACTGTATATTTCAATAGCCATTTAACATACATATAATGTATGTTTTTTAATGTACAGGATATTAATGCAATAAATGACATTTCTGAATTTCACTAAATACTGAAATTCTGCACATCTACGTATCACTTTAATGAATCCACTTTAATATGGATACATAATTTTGATGCAAAGACTTATTTTAGTTTTCAACTGTAATTTAAAGATAGATGACGCCGGACTTAAACATAAATCTGATTGTATTAAACTTTAAATAATTCACCGATCGTGATTTTCAAATCATATCTCAAAGATGTGCTTGCAGAAAGTGTGTTTGTATGTGGTGTCCACCAGGGGTCAGTGTGCAACTGCTCATAGAGAGACCATAAACCCTGAATATTACTGGAGAGAGAAATATTAATCACTACACTGACTAGGGTTGCCACCCGTCCCTTAAAATACGGAATCGTCCCGTATTTGTGAAATAAACAGCGCGTCCCGTTTTGAATCAATACGGGACGCGGTTTGTCCCGTATTTCCGAGTTGTCTTAAATGCATCATCACATGCAAATCATAACACCCGCATTCTGTGAAGACTCGTCCTATTCTACCCTTGATTGGGTAATACTCGCTGCCATTGTTGGTTTGATTGGTTTGTTTAATAACATCAGGTTCAGGGCCAATCAGAGTCAGAGGAGGGCGGGTCTTTTGGCAGAGAGTTGATAGCAATGCTAGCTTAGAGAAATCAAAGCACCGTCTCACAGTTCTTCATACGTTAAGGATCTCCCGAAGCAGATAGTCATAGTGTAATGACAGTTTTTTAATCAGCTCAATAATGTTCTGATTGATTACGTTTTCATATGCTCCATACCCTATGCCCATTTGCTAAGAAATAATGTTTCAATGTAAATGAATTATATCCATACATTATGGTATGATTTGTTTATTATAGTTAAGGTCAGGGCCTGAAGTTAACTTTTTTGGCCACCAGCCACTGTGGCAGGTGGATATAAAAATTCACCTGCCACAGAGACTTTTTACCAGCCTTTTTTTTTTTTTTGGCTCATAGCCTAAAGGTGAAAAACGGGAATTTCACAATATTGTTCTATAACTTTGTTCACATTTAAGTGCTGTCAAGTTATTAACGAAATCAATATAAGTAATAATAACTCTTAGAATATACATTTTTAAAAAAGTCTTTTTATTCATTGATTTTGACACACACATGCACAACAGATCTATAGACCTACCGCAGCTCGTATGTAAACAAATCACCCGCGGCTGTGTTGATGGCTGATTTAGTCACGTAGACAGCTAGGTCCTGACAGCTTTTAGTTACAGCGTTCAGGAACCGTTAAGCAGAACTAAATTAATATTATTATTGGTAAAGTTACCGGGTGCCGGACATTTTCTCACCGGTTCCCAACTCCCAACATGTACTACAGTTGCACACGCACACATCTGTGCAACTGTCATTGTTCTGGAGCCTACGTCAGCGTTACATTATCTCATCCCATCTCACCAACAGTTCAATACTGGCACATCCAAACGTAGTCAGAAAAGGGCCTCATCTTCTTTCTGATCGCATGAACGTTACGAAACAACAGTCGCTGTCATAAATCAGCCGCTCACGAACCTTGCCGTTGTCGCCAATTGACCACTTTGTATTAAAATGTCTTATTTTACTTTTCTTTGACTCATCCTCATCTTTTTGTTGGTTGTTTGTTTCAGCTGGCCTTTTTACCCCAGTAATGTGCCGCCACTAGGGTTGCCACCTGTCCCGGTTTTACCGGGATTGTCCTTCTTTTTAATAACCTGTCCCGGGAAATTTACGCACTCTCCCGGGACACTGAATGTCCCGGTTTTCGAAAGGCTACGTGAATATGTATGTTCAAACTGTGTAGCGCGCGCAACGGCAGAGAGCGAGAGACCTTGCGTGTGTGTGCTAGTGTGAGTCGAGTCTGCCTCAAGAAGCGCATAAGAAGCGCATGTAATCTGAGTGTGGAGCGCGCTTGCTGCACGAGGCGCGGGCGCGAGCACTTCCGTTTTTCTATCAACAGTGGAAACAACTTAAAATAGGCCTACTACTCTATCATTTCTGGTCATAGAAAATAAACATCATTCGCAACAATACATCATTCGCAACTACTTTTATTTGTGTAAACTCACAATAACAAGAAAACGTTGTGCTTTTGTAAAATAAAATAAAACAATCAGTCGCGCTCTTTTATGGTCTCCGTGAACTGGATCGCGTCTCAAAATAAACAAGCCCATAGGCTAAAGCTTGAAATGTCCACTTTTAAACGAACAAATTCGAATCAAAAGAAAATACAGTCTGATTATGTAATCCATATGAATTTCTTCTCTAAAGGCGCATCTGCTTTACAGCGGAGATGGAGATATGTTGCAGCCGATTTAGAAAATACTAGTTTATTAATAAACAATTAAAATGCCTCGTTACTTTTTCAGAAACATTTATAATAGCCTATAAATCATCTATAGCCTTAGAAATATAGTGTTTGGCCTTAGAAAACCATTTTATCCATATAATTTGTGAATATTTTAAATGCTTATTAAAGGGGCAAAAAAAAAATCATGAACAAAAATCTGAAAATACGCGAATATAGGATATATTTTTGCGCAGCATTTGGTGTATAGGCGGGCCTACAGTTAAAATTTAAATTTTGGTGTTCAACCGTTCATTTTTGGTCTTCAAACACCCCCCCCCCCCCCCCCCCCCCCCCCCCAGTTGGGCGGGTAATATGTCCCGGTTTTTTATCAGACATAGGTGGCAACCCTAGCCGCCACATTATAGCTAAGGTCCAACGCAATGAAAATGAAAACGTAACAAAAACCCCTAATGAATCACTCAATTCTCAATTCACAAAATGTGGCAGGTATAGATTGACAGTGTTACCCGCCAATAGCAAAATTCACCCGCATTTGGCAGGTGGTCGGGTGTTAATTTCAGGCCCTGGTTAAGGTAGTCAGACACATGCATTTTTTAAATAAGAGAGAGAGATATTTAATAGGCCTACATATTTAATAATAAAAATGTGCATGTGTGAAGAAAATGACTTATGCTTAACAAATCTAGAGAATAGGTCAATAGGTCTGAATACATAAATAAATAAATACATAAATAGATTTTCTTACCAATAATAAAAATAGTGTTATAATTAAATTTAGAAATGTTTGTAGATTATAGGTTATTTATGTGTGGTATCACTGTTTGGATGGTGTTACATGTTTGAAAGAAACAGCTACTCAGTGCTGCATGGAGTGACAAGTACACTTAACGCCTATAGTCCAATACTGCACAGTACTACTGGTCTACTGATGTTTTTGATGTTCAAGATCCTTTGCTAAAGTCATAGTTTTTTCCAATCAAATTTAGTATTTGTTTGAGTATCAACACATTTGTTTAATTTATAGTGAATAAGTTATGGATCTGTTAATTTAATAAGTTAATAAGTTAACATCTCACATACAACTCCGACGAAAGGCCAATTTTTTTGTAATCTCATTGTCACACTTTGTTAACGTTGTTTGTGATAGAGAGTGATTTATTCTCAATGATTTCAATAGCAGATAGCTTATTATAATGTCCATTGGTATGATCTTATTACTTTCCTGAAAAATATGTTTTGAGTTATGATACCATTGGCATACCGTCGGGCCTGTGGTCATTGTGGCCCTGAGGGCTTTGGCCCCCGCTGCGGCCGCCGGCAGGCGTCCCTTATTTTTTTGTATTGAAGGTGGCAACCCTAACACTGACTGTAAACCAGCCTGAACCAACAATACAACTGACACAGAACATGATTATTAAACTAATAAAGAAATACGTGTGAAGAGGCTCATAAACTCACCACATGTCTCCATCCTGGATGGTTTTGTCATTGGGAGAGCCGGCGTGTCCGTAATGCAGGACGGAGGAGTTATTCCCACTGTTGAGTGTTAACATGTTCACATGCAACCAAACAACTCAAATAATTGACCATATCCACTACATTTGAATGAACATCATCTGTCTTTATATCTTTAAATGATGTTCAGTCAGTTGGTCAGTGACAGATGCATTATGGGTAAACGTGTTTCTATGCTTCTATGTTCATGAGCGTTCACATTAATACATATTTTGACTTTAAAATGGTCCCTTCAAGTATTAAATTACACTTCAACTACAAAAACAACAATTGTGAAATGTAAGTTATTAATCACTGAAAATCTTGTATCATAAATGAAAAATGAAGATCTGCAGATACAAAAAAGAAGCAATTTTTGGGTCTGTTCATCACACAATCATATGATTTTAAAAGACTTGGAAAATAATGTCACATGCACATGTTTTAGAAGTGCGATAGTACATTTTTAGGTGAACTGTGCATTTAAGATTGAATCCGAAACGTGTGTGTGTCTCTCTGGAGTTTATTATCTGTCCAGATGTTTGCTGTGATTGAACTGATTTAACTCCGACACATCTCTTGCTCTGGGGACACAATATCAGACACTCAGAGTCTCTCACTAACAAGACACACACACACACACACACACACACACACACACACACACACACACACACACACACACATCAGTAGTGCTGTACCTTCCACAGATGCAGGTGTACGAGGTGTCTCACACACACACACACACACACAAACACACACATCAGTAGTGCTGTACCTTCCACAGATGCAGGTGTACGAGGTGTCTCACACACACACACACACACACACACACACACACACACACACATACACACATCAGTAGTGCTGTACCTTCCACAGATGCAGGTGTACGAGGTGTCGCGCACACACACACACACACACACACACACACACACACACACACACACACACACACACACATCAGTAGTGCTGTACCTTCCACAGATGCAGGTGTACAAGGTGTCTCACACACACACACACACACACACACACACACACACACACACACACACACACACACACACATATACACACATCAGTAGTGCTGTACCTTCCACAGATGCAGGTGTACGAGGTGTCGCGCACACACACACACACACACACATCAGTAGTGCTGTACCTTCCACAGATGCAGGTGTACGAGGTGTCTCACACACACACACACACACACACACACACACACACACACACACACACACACACACACACACACACACACACACACACACACACACACACATCAGTAGTGCTGTACCTTCCACAGATGCAGGTGTACGAGGTGTCGCGCACACACACACAATACACACACATCAGTAGTGCTGTACCTTCCACAGATGCAGGTGTACGAGGTGTCTCACACACACACACACACACACACACACATACACACACACACACACACACACACACATTAGTAGTGCTGTACCTTCCACAGATGCAGGTGTACGAGGTGTCTCACACACACACACACACACACACACACACACACACATCAGTAGTGCTGTACCTTCCACAGATGCAGGTGTACGAGGTGTCGCGCACACACACACACACACACACACACACACACACACACACACACACACACACACACACACATCAGTAGTGTTGTACCTTCCACAGATGCAGGTGTACGAGGTGTCTCACACACACACACACACACACACATCAGTAGTGCTGTACCTTCCACAGATGCAGGTGTACGAGGTGTCGCGCACACACACACACACACACACACACATACACACACACACACACACACACACACACATCAGTAGTGCTGTACCTTCCACAGATGCAGGTGTACGAGGTGTCGCACACACACACACACACACACACACACACATACACACACACACACACACACACACACACACATCAGTAGTGCTGTACCTACCACAGATGCAGGTGTACGAGGTGTCTCACACACACACACACACACACACACACACACACACATCAGTAGTGTTGTACCTTCCACAGATGCAGGTGTACGAGGTGTCTCACACACACACACACACACACATCAGTAGTGCTGTACCTTCCACAGATGCAGGTGTACGAGGTGTCGCGCACACACACACACACACACACACACACACACACACACACACACACACACACACACACACACATCAGTAGTGTTGTACCTTCCACAGATGCAGGTGTACGAGGTGTCTCACACACACACACACACACACACACACACACACACACACACACACACACACACACACACACACACACACACACACACACACACACACACACACACACACACACACATCAGTAGTGCTGTACCTTCCACAGATGCAGGTGTACGAGGTGTCTCACACACACACACACACACACACACACACATCAGTAGTGCTGTACCTTCCACAGATGCAGGTGTACGAGGTGTCTCACACACACACACACACACACACACACACACACACACACACACACACACACACACACACACACACACACACACACACACACATCAGTAGTGCTGTACCTTCCACAGATGCAGGTGTACGAGGTGTCTCTCACACACACACACACACACACACACACACACACACACACATCAGTAGTGCTGTACCTTCCACAGATGCAGGTGTACGAGGTGTGACGCATTCCTCCGCGAGAGTAACAGTAGTGCTGGAACAGACTGAAACAAACACAGTTCACACACATCAATCATTCATTCATGAAAAACAACCAAGAGAAAGAAAAGAAGAAATTACATTTTGCATAGAGAAAATGCATATTTGTAGGTTAATAATAAATCTTTTTTGCATTGTAAGATTATTTTCATGACACAAACCCCAATTCTTATTTTGAATTCAATGAGCAAAATACAAAGAAACACACGAAAAACACCAGCCTGAAATCCCTCCATTTCTCCACTGTGACCTGCACTAAAACTGTAAAACACAACATGAGGAGCCGGAAAGACTCCGTCACTCCATATAAATTGAAAAAAGAGGCAGCCGGAGAAAACCTTGAATGATAACTTCATATCTCCACATCAACATAACAGACACACACACTGATATAAAGCAGAGATTTCATCTTCTGTGCGATAAAACAAGTGAAAAATCACACAGATGCACATTAATGGAGGGACACGAGCCATGTAGATCAGATCAATACTCAAAGACAACAATGCTCATTAATATTCAATGACAGCAATGCTCATTAATATTCAATGTCAACAAAGCTCATTAATATTCAATGTCAACAAAGCTCATTAATATTCAATGACAGCAATGCTCATTAATATTCAATGTCAACAAAGCTTACTAATATTCAATGCCAACAAAGCTCATTCATATTCAATGACAACATTGCTCATTAATATTCAATGACAACAAAGCTCATTAATATCCAATGTCAACAAAGCTCATTAATAATAATATTCAACGCTCATTAATATTCAATGTCAATATGTTGCCAAAACTGTGTTGACATTGAATATTAATGAGCGTTGAATATTATTATTAATGAGCTTTGTTGACATTGAATATTAATGAGCTCATTAATATGTCAACATAGCTCATTAATATTCAATGTAAACAAAGCTCACTAATATTCAATGACAACAAAGCTTATTAATATCAATATTTAAAGCTCATTCATATTCAATGTCAACACAGCTCATTAATATACAGTGGCTTCACCACTCAAGGTTACAATCTTTCTAAAACCCTTTTTCAACTTTCGTAAAGTATAAAGTGTTGCTAAACCCGGAGTTAAAAGTGTTTCTAGCTTGGGGTTAAAAAAATAGGTAACCTAAAATCAATCATATTGAATATCAATTATACTAACAGAGGACACAGAAGTATGAATATTGCACTTGAAGCCAGTTTTGGCCAGAACTGTTGTTCTCTTGGGAAAGAGCAAATAATAATTGACAACGCTGTAATTAATTTCAGATGATGTCAAATAGAAATCACTCATACGCATAATAATGTTAATAATGTTCACAGAGGCGTCGACCGTGAAGGTCATGTGACTCTATATTTGGCGGATTTCAGGCGATTCTTTATAAAATATCAGTGGTTTCGGGTTTATGAAATGAAGTCCGTGATCAGGGAAACGCTTCCCTCAGGGTTTGATCTCTCTCTGGGTGTTTAATATAGATTGTATGATCCAGTTATGCTACATTAAAGGAGAACTCCGGCGCAAAATGAACCTTTGGTCTAATAAAACATTGGTACCTAGTCAACCGTTCTCTGAGATTTGTTTTCATGATAATCGAATGTAAAGAGTTTTATCTCTAAAAACTGTTTAGCGTATAACGCTAGTAATGGGGGCATATAATAAGTAAAAAGAAATCGCTAGTTAATACAAAATAGCCCCACACGAACACAGTAACATAATGAGGGTCCCTACATGCAAAACGAAGCATTGAGAACTGTGTAAGTGTACAGACCGTTTAATAAGAAGATAAAGATAAAGACAGTCCACTTCGTGTATACAGACAGGAGCCATCTTTGGAAAACAGTCTCGACTAATCAAACCACGAACGACGTGCTAAGTGAGCTGAACTGTATCAAAGTCCTTTCAGGCAAGTCATGCCACTCGGCCGCCATCTTGGCAACGCCTCCGGGCAGCTATTTCAGACTAACAAGACCAGGCTCTTATCTAAATGAATGGGCAGAGAGTCAGAACTGCAGTTTCACTGGTCACCGGGGCATAAAAACCGCATGTATAGAAACAGCAGTAAAATATGATAAAAATCGCTGAAAAAGTTTGATGACTTTGCCCCAAAATAAGGTTTAAAAGGCCTTTTTCCCCACAGGTTATACTTTTACTACACATGCGCAAGGGTTCTCTCCCTCGGTCGTGCGCGCGCTACACAGTTTGAGCACAGTATGTGTGAGCTCTTGCTCGCTCGCTCTAGATCCCGGGAGATTTGAACTAATTTGCAGGCATCAGGGAGCCGCTATCAATCTGCGGGAGACTTCTGATGTCTGATATTTACACAACTCACACAAACACTGCATATCAAATCTGCCGCCTTTTCAAACAGTAACGTATTTTGCGCTGTCGCAATCCTCAACTGTGCGCATGCGTCAGTGGAACCAGACGATAGGCTTACATGTTTCCCGGCTTGACTGTTAAAAGCAGACGATTGGCTTTCCAGCGGGAGGGGCGGGGCATGTGCAGACAACCGCCATCTTTGGCGTTACGGGTTTTCCCTATTTAGTTGTATTAAGGATTGATGAAGTGGCATGTCTCTATATAAATAGTCTCTGACTGTATGAAGTTCAGCAGGGTTCTCAAGTTTTATCAAAAGCTTGGAGTGAGATCACATGCGGTTAGGGGAGGAGCCTAAATGGAGCCCCGCCCCCAATTTTACCCATTGTTCATAATTAACCAGCAAAAATTGAAATTATAACAATTGGTAAATCTGATAAATGACAGAGCAATTCATCACATCAAATATAGGCCTACTCTTTAATGTTATATTTCAAAATTAGGCTACAAATATATAACAAATTGCTGCAAAATGTTTGGAAAAAAATTATTTTTGTATTTTTCCCTGACATCTTTGAAAAATACAACTGCAATGGCAATGATTAGGCTAATGTATGTTTTGACAGGATATACAATATTACCAAGAGCACTCTGCTTTAGCCTTAATGTAACTAGAAATACTATTAATACAGTATAATATAGAATTTAAAATAAACTGAAGAAATACATCTTCATTCCTTCCCATACCCAATAACATTTCCTTAGCCAAACCGAGCCAAAGCAGTTGTAGAGTTTTTGACTGCATCAATAATGTATACGATGGGCTACATATTAAATGTTATAGAACTTCTAGTCTAAAAATGTTAGGCGAGCTTTCTTCCAACTTACTTTCTTCATCACGACGTGTGTTCGCGCGATGTCGCGGTGGCCGAACTTCCGTGTGTGTTCGCGGACTTCGCGCGTCTATAAGTTGCCTAGTAACGAACGCAATCTGGCCGAGATGCGGACGCGCTGGCGGCAGGAAACTTATCTTTGTGTGCATGCGCCTCGTATACAACGTTATATATAAAGTTTGCAGGACAACTTGGTTGGCATTGCCTTTTCAGCGTGAGAAATACACGGTGTGGCGAGTGAGCGTGTGAACTGGTTGAATTGCGTGTGTCTCACGGCCAATGCGTGAGACTTGAGAACCCTGAGTTCAGTGAACTTCTGAACTGTATGAATGGCGTTCGTGGTTTGATTAGTCGAGACTGTTTTCCAAAGATGGCTCCTGTCTGTATACACGAAGTGGACTGTCTTTATCTTTATCTTCTTATTAAACGGTCTGTACACTTACAAAGTTCTCAATGCTTCGTTTTGCATGTAGGGACCCTCATTATGTTACTGTGTTCGTGTGGGGCTATTTTGAGCCTTGTTAGTGGTATAAACTAGCGATTTCTTTTTACTTATTATATGCCCCCATTACTAGCGTTATACGCTAAACAGTTTTTAGAGATAAAACTCTTTACATTCGATTATCATGAAAACAAATCTCAGAGAACAGTTGACTAGGTACCAATGTTTTATTAGACCAAAGGTTCATTTTGCACCGGAGTTCTCCTTTAAATCACACGCTAACTGGAGATTTGATATGGAAAGTACTTTTAATCGAGGGATAATTGTAACCAGGATTCAGAAAAAACAAACAACTTCATTTCCTCCATTCACACTCTTTTCATACGACAGAATATTACACTATTGTTGAGTAAGATTACAAAAAAATAGGATGCATTAAACTGATACAAAGTGACAGTAACTGAATACTTTCTATTCATCACAGAATCCTGAAAAATAAAATGAATCATGGTTTCCTCAAACATATTTTTTTCAACTATATTATCGCCCAGCTCTTTATATAAAGTTGGATTATGTAAGTATGTCCAACTATGTTCGCACACACACAGTATACTCGCGTAAGGCTATGTACGTTATATCGCAAATCACGACTGCGTTATTGTTTATATGGTCGCAAAATGTAACTACATTATCGCTCAGCTCTAATTTGCTAAATGCACATATAAGACATGAAGATATTACGATTTCTGGAAAGCTGCTTTGAAACATTGTGAACTGTGAAAAGCACTGTAGAAATAAATGTGAAAATAACAAGCAACACCAAATAACAAACCGAGTTCTGAAACGCATTAAAACAACAGGTAAAAAAAACTAGTTATGAATAACTCCAAACATCAGCCTGTGATAATAAGATCCGCCACATGTATATTGTGAAGTGCTGCAATTTCTCTCTCTCTCACACACACACACTCAGATAGACACACAGATACACACACTCTGATAGACACACACACACACACACACACTCTGATAGACACACACACACACACACTCAGATAGACACACAGATACACACACTCTGGTAGACACACACACACACACACACTCTGATAGACACACACACACACTCAGATAGACACACAGAGACACACAGAGAAACACAGATACACACAGAGACACGCAGTGACACACACACACATACACTCAGACAGACACACAGATACACACTCTGGTAGACACACACACACACACACACACACACTGATAAACACACACACACACACACACTCAGACAGACACACAGATACACACTCTGGTAGACACACACACACACACACACTCTGATAGACA